CATTCCGGGTACTTTACCTCTCGAATTGAACCGATATTGAGTAGTCGGATTACCTCTTCTTTAACAAACATATTTCTGACCTCTACTATCGATCGTTTCTTTTGCCTTACCGATTAGAAGTTTGGATCTAGACTCAGTTTGTGGATCGCCACCTCCAATAGAATACATGTCATATCTGAATGCGATAAAGCAAAGCAATCAACATTATATTTAAGAAAATTTATGAGTTTTAACCTGAGTTCGGGACTCAAACCCGTTCCCAAATGGAACTTTCTTTCAAAAACATCTTTGAACAAAGCCACTTGTTCGAGCTCTTCCGCGGCTGATTTGGTCGCATCCGTCTCATCTGGTACCTAAACAAATCTCGGTACCTGACATAATTTCGATGACTCCTCATTTTTATCATCTTCAATTGGCATGGGAGAAGGCAATGGTTCCTATATTTGCTATTTTACTGGTTTCTCTGTCCTTGCTGCTGGAAACCCTTACTGCGTTCATCTCCTTTACCACTGGTTGGTCTCCTCTTATATCTTTGACCATTTCTGGTGTCAGAAACTTCAATAGTTGATGATAGGTCGAGGGCATAACCTTCATCTCGTGTATCCACGGCCTTCCGAGGATCACATTATAGCCCAAGTCACTATCTACCACTTCCAACAGGGTGGTCTTTGTTACTCCTTCGACATGCGTGGGTAGCAAAATTTCTCTTCGGGTAGTCACACTTGTTAAGTTGAAGCCAGCCAGAAGTTTCATCATTAGGATGATGTCCCCGATTAACTTTGCTTGCTCCAAAACTCTCTATCGTATGATGTTGTCCGAACTCCCTAGATCAACCAAACACGATTAATTTTAAAATCTAAAACATTAAGTAAAATTACCAACGCGCCATTGTGCAGTATGATAAGTCCATCAACATCTTCCTTCGTGAAGGTGATGTCATCTTCTGAGACTTATCTGATCCTCTTGTCATGAGTCACTAATATCTTCGTCTTCTTTGCTGCTGAAAATGTCACCCCGTTGACTTCGTCTCCTCCGAAGATTATGTTGATTGTCATCCGAGGTGACCCTGCTGCTGTATTTGATTTTGATGGCTCCGCATTATCCCAACTTCAACCATAATTGTTTTTGGCATGGTCACTTAAAAACTCTCTGAGATGGAAATTCTTCAACAACGTCGCCACCTCCTCGCGAAGATGTCGGCAGTCCCCCAGTTCTATGGCTGCGAGTCCCATGGAATTCACACTACAGATTATGATCACTTTGGCTAGGATTCGATCAGATTGGTTTCGGAAATTGTGCCTTTTTTATATTCCTCATTGCTAACACCAATTCTACCAGGCTGATATTAAAGTTGTAATCGGATAACCTGGGAATCACTGAATCTCTGGAACCCGACGCCTTTTTTTCCTACAATGATCTACTATTCAAACTACGATTCGTCCTTTTATCAGAAGCAAAACTATCTGTTGACTGGATCCTTTATTACCACGCCAATAGGCTCTCTCGAATTCTAGGGGGTCTCCGATCTACATCAAAATCACTTTAGAATTTATCTTGATTCCGATCACGATTACGTCCTTTAGAGGACGCTGAGGAACGAAGTTGATCATCTTCTAGTCTTATCTTCGAATCATAGCGATTATGAACGTCTGCTCATGTGGTTTCCTGAAACAAGAGCAAGCTCTCCTTCAACTTTTGGGAGGTGTCGGAACTCAGCGGATTGAGACCCTATGTAAATGCCTCCGCTGCCCGCTCATCTGGAACCACTGGTAAGAACATTCTTTCTTTCTGGAACCGGATAACGAATTCATGCAACATTTCGAATTCTTCTTGAGAAATTCTGAATATGTCCTCCTTCTTGGCCTGGACCTTTCTTGCTCCAACATGTGCTTTGATGAATGAATCCGCAAGCATTTCACAATAATTGATTGAATGCTCAAGTGAGAGAGAATATCATGTCAGGGCACCATTCATGAGGGTTTTACCAAACTTTTTCAATAAAACTGACTCGATCTTGTGTTGAGCCAAGTCGTTTCCTTTTATTGTCGTGGTGTAGGTTGTGATGTGCTCCTATGGGTCTGACGTCCCATCATACTTTGGAATATCCAGCATCTTAAACCTCTTTGGGATCAACTCTGGTGTCACTCTTGGCTTAAATGATAACTGCGTATACTTCCTCAAATTTGGTCCTTTTAACACGGGCGCCACGCTTCGGATCTGATCCATCTGAGCATGAAACTCATTCACGTTCTGGTCCATTCATTCATTCATTTCTCTCATGAATCTCATCAGCTCAGATTTAAAAGGATCATTCAAGTTGTTGTTCCCATATCCACTATCGGTCCCTCAGGCTTCGTCGAAACTGACTTCATCTCTCGGCGTGTTGCTATCAATTCTTTGAGCCGTCTGATCTGCGGGAACGCTAGGAGGAACTAGAGCCCTTTTATTAGCATTATTGGAAGCACCCGATAATGCCTGCTTCAATTCTATCATCACACGATCTTGCCTCGAGAGGTGATCCATAATCGCCTTTTGTTTTGGGTTTGAGCCCTACGGTGGGTGCCAAATTATTTACCCGTAAAAGGGTACAGTTGAATTTATAGTGTAGTTTATAAACAAGTGAATAGATTTGACCCAAAAATAATAAATAAATATGAACAGAAATAAGATTAACGAATGAAATTGAATAAGATAACAAGCATGTCTGAGAACTTAGCCTTTTCGATGACAAAAGTGAATACAATGTTCAAGTGTTCAAATTGAGCATAATAAGACAATAGATTATGGCTTTTAGTGTGCAACATGTTTTGTGTCTACAAATGGATGTTAGTCATCCTATTTATATCTTGATTCAAGGAGACAAGATCCTCAAATCAAGCTCTTCTTTAATGAAAATAAAATCATCATTGATGGGTGTGTAACAGTTGACTATAAATGCAGATATTCTCTCTAATTGCTGCCCATCGAATGTTATCCGATGACAATATTTTGAATCTTTATTACCGACTGCTCTGTCTTCGAGATTCGTTCAGCACTGGTCGCATGCTTGCATCCGGTGCTAGCTTTTTGCTGACTTATATCCAACATGTCTTTAGTTTCATGTGTCATTTCGTTATTTGCTCAGTTGTCATTAATCAATTTTACCCCATACATCCTTACAGTTTCTAGTCTATGTTTGGTCAATTGACACTTGAAAAGCGAAAGAAGTTGAGGTTTTGTAACGGAAGAAGTAGTATTTATGGGTTGTGAAACGCATATTTTTGCTTATTGCAATTATCTCTTGCATTGTTTTTTGCATTTAATTTAGGTAATACATTGTAATATCTTTATCAGTTGTCCCGTCTCCCTAATTTCCCGAACTTTGTGTTTGTGTCCACGGCTGGCACAATTCTTGTATGATCCGTGCTATTTAGCCAAAGTGTCTATGTTTAATTATAATTGTATGATAATATACAACCAAAATATGTAAGTAACTTTTCTTTTTGGTAGAAAAGATACAAATATTAAGTAGTCAAGTTTTTACCTTTTATTTCGGGGGGGTGGGGGGGCATTATACAACGTTAAGCTCTCAAATCCAAATTGCTTCCAAATTTTGCTAGGGCATCTGCTACTGAGTTGGCTTTCCTACAAATATAATTCAAAATTGGACCTCTCGCCTCAACCATGGATGGCCTGCAGTCATCTACAATATATGTATGGTGATTGTTATCATTTGTTAGCATATTAATAATCTTTTTGCAGTACATTTCTACTTTTTATTTTATATAATTTTTCGGTTTTATATTGGGTGTGTTGTATTTATCTTCAAACAAAGGAGGGGGATGGCCTTACCTCCAAAGATTACAATACAAGGATACTAGCACCCTTCCAAAAAACACAGACGCCTAGCTTACAGCCCCACCCCTGTGTGAACCATACATAACAAGTTCAACTTACAAAAAAATCTGCCTTGTCGTACTTTGTCCTAATACTAGGTATTTGAACTTTGTCCATAATGAATGTACCTTTGGCCCCTCTAGGAGGTTGATGAAAGGATAAGGTCAAATACATAAATAACCCCTAAAGTTGTCACGATTTTTTCATTTAGACACTAGTACAACCAATTAGACACTCAAACTGCCATGAAAGTGTCAATTCAACATATAATGCTGACATGGCAACTATTGTGTTGCTCGCACACATTTTAGTGCGTAAAGCTAATTTATATTTGTTAACATGGCTTTGACCTTTTTTACTGTTAGTGCAAAGCTCAAACACAAATGAAGTTTTGTCTCTCGTCCTCATCTTCTTAACCAAATAATTAAAGCAGCCAAAACCCTTTCATCTCCCATTTATGAGTTAATAGAGAACAGGTTTGACATATTTACGCTGGGTCTTAATCTTATTAAGGGCAAGCTGAGAGAATGAGATACAAACTAATAATTAACTGGGTTTGACACTTTCCCATTTCTTTCCTCTTCAATGCGAAGTGTTTGAATAGTGCAATGGCTGATTGGAGGTCAATTTTGATCACATAAATTCTGGTCGTGCGATTATCACTATTATTCCGACTTTTCACTATTCTTATCTCTAAATTTTCATCTCTCTACTTTCTCTTAGTTGTAGAAATGGATCCTCCATTTTCATTTCTTAATTTGCTATCAGATTGTACCAATTGAGTGAATTGGTAATTTTTTCTTCTAATTACCAAATACTCTGTATGCTTACAAAAAAAGTTGGGTTAATTAATATTTATTGGCATATTCATAGTGTAGACAAAAACAATATTCATAAATAAAGAAATAATGTAGTTGCCATTTCCATGGTAGAAGGCCTAATTGGCACATGGCTTCTGTTGCACCTAACTGGAGGTAGGTGAGGGGGAGAGGTCCACCGTGGTGGGTCTGGTTGTGGAGCATTAAGAAATTAAACTTTTTTTATGTGGATTTTATTTAAATGCTTACTTTGCCACATAAGCTGCGTCTGAACTTCACGCACCATTTTTTGTTTCAGACCAAGTTTTTTATGTTCAATTGAAACACTTTCATGGTTGTTTGGGTGTCTAATAGGTCGCATACTTGGTTAAAGTGTCTAAGTAAAAAATCTTAACAACTTTAAGGTGTTGTCTATGTATTTGGCCAAAGTAATAATATATGTTACTGTCATAAGTGGTTGTAGCCCAGTTAGCTAAGTGGCCACCACTTAGTTAGCCTCTCTATAACAGTGATTAGGAGTAACATTGGCTGGGTTCATTAACTGTGTTGTCTCTTCAATGATTCTCTTTATTTGATAGTTATCTGTACGCCTCTCTTTCAATATATTTACCACCAGAAGATAATCTAGTTCAATGATGTAGCAAGAGTAACCATTTTGAATGCACCATTTGACTCCAAATAATGCTGCTTGTGCTTCTGCATCATTGTTGCTAGTGCATTTGGCAGAGATAGAAAAGGCCATAATGATTTCTCCCTGGTCATTGCTCATAGTTCCTTCCAATCCTGCTTTACCATTTCCATGTATATAATTTTCATTAGTGTTAAGCTTTGAAGGATCCTTGGGGAGGCTTAATCCAAGCTACATTAATGGCTTCAGGAACATGTTGTAGCCTCATCATGACTTCACAGTATTTGACCCAAGGCAATGTCAGTTTGGATCCAGGGAAGGATACTGCAGCTTGAATGTTCCAGATTATCTGCTGCCTCATCTTGTAGAAGTTGAATCTTTTCTGATCTCCATACTTACATGAGCACCTACTTTTCCAGATTCCCCAGCAAATGATGATAGGAGTGATTTGCAGGATCTGTTTATGTATGACATTATTGCTCTTTTGCTGCCACCAGTGATTAAGCTATCCTCTAATGGGAATTTTCTTATATACTATTCTCATAGGGGCACCTATGGTCTTCCAAATGTACCTAGCTGCATCACTCTCCATAAAAACATGTTGTATTAACTCATTTAAATGGTTAGTACAACAAACACAACTAGAAATAATTTATTTTCCAAAAATGAGGATTACATCATCAAAAGGAAGCTTTGACATTCATAATCGCCAAGATAAAAAGAGATCTTAAAAGGGATGCTAGAATGCCATATCTTGCATAGTAGATGATCCTTAGGTTGAGTGCTTCTGAATAAATTCGAAGTTATTTTGTTTGAGTACTTACCATTTTCTGTGAGGCCCCATATAGCTTGGTCTGGAATGTCTTGATTGCCAATGTTGATATTCACAATATATTGAACAATTTACTCTGGGAAGGCATCTCCAAGTTTTGAATGTTCCATCTTTCATTGTGTATAAACTCTTTGACTAGAATTTTTGGATTGTTGTTGATGTCTGGTAGAAGTGCTACCAAAGGACCCTTTCCAGTCCAGTTGTCCCACCATATACTTGAATTTCCAGAGTTTATAAGCCATAAAATGTGAGGTTCTGCCTTGTCTCTGACTTTTCTCATTTTTTGCCAGGCATGGGAATTACCAGAGGTCTTTTTCTTACTCATTGAATGGGATTTGGGATAATATTTATGTTTCATGAAGGTAGCCCACAAAGAGGGGATGGTTCTAAATCTCCACCACCTTTTCGAGGCAAGGATATTATCAAAGACCTCCATTCTTTTCAGTCCAATGCTTCCTTTCTCTATGGGGAAGCATAATTTTTTCCAAGATCTCCAATGATATTTCTTTTGGTTGTCAGAGTAGCCCCAAAAAAATTAGCAAAATGCTTCTCAATCAATTTAAAAATGCCTTGGGGGGGAGGGGGGACATAGCAGATAAAGTATATATATGGAGAGATTGAAAAACATGTTTGATCAAAATAATTCTCCCTTCATGAGCCAATATTTTACTATTCCACCCATTGAGCTTCTTAACAATTTTATTAACAAGACAGTCAAAATAAACTAACATCTTCCTTTCTATATAAATAGAACAACCTAGATAAGTAAAAGGGAAGTTCTTGTCCATGTAACCTGTTGCATTCCTGATTCGATTGATTCTAGTAACACAAGTATTAGGAGCAGCTAAAAAGAAAATCTTATCATTATTAACCTTTTGGCCTGAGATGCTCTCATATCTTCTAATGATATCCATAATAAGATTAATTGAAGCAATGCTACCACTAGTGAAGATAACAATATCATCTACAAACGCAAGATGATTGATCTGAGGAGCTCTTTGTGGCATAGAGAAAAGAATGAAATTATCATTAGAGTATAAGTTGAAAGAGCAAGTAATAACCTCAGCTGCCAAGATGAAGAGGGAAGGGGATAAGGGGTCCCCTTGTTTTAGACCTTGACAGGATGAGAGGAAGCCTTTTCTATTTCCATTGACTATGATAGAATACCAAATTTCAGATAAAATATTCATAATCTTATAAATCCATAACTCTGAGAAACCAAATTTCCTAAGGACGGAGGCTATAAAGCTCCAAGATATTCTATCATAGGCTTTAACCATATCCAATTTAAGGACTATATTACCACCCTGATTAACATGATCAATGGATTGAACTATTTCATGTGCTAGTATAATATTTTTAGAGATGAGTCTATCTTTAATAAAGCCACTCTGATTAGGAGAGATAAAACTAGTCAAGAAAGAATAAGTCTAATGGATAGGATCTTAAAAATAATTTTGTTAGTGAAAGTAGATAAACTAATAGGCAAACAACTTAGGAATTAAAACTAAACAAGTATGTGTATAGAATTTGGTCAGAGGAGTACCTTTGAAGAATTCCCAAACGAAAGAATTAATGTCCTCTTTAATGATATCCCAACAGTTGTGGAAAAAGGTGCCACTGTAACAATCTGGACCAGCTGCACTAGAGGCAGACAGACAGAATACTGTCTGTCGGATTTCTTCCTCACTGGGTTCTTCATCTATCTTGTCTCTTTCTTCTTCAGTGATCTTTTTAGTAATACAATTCATAAGTGTAGAATCCAAGTGAGGTGAAAGAAGGTTGAACATGGAGTTGAAGTGCCGAATAGCTACCTTTGCAATTTTCTCCTCTTCTTGTATCCATTTGCCTTTATGGTTTTTTATCCTATTCAATGAAAGTTTTCTTCTTTTTTCTATGAGCATACTGTGAAAATAATTAGTGTTTCTGCCGCCCTTCTCAAATCATTAGGCATTAGCTTTTTGGGTAAGTAGAGAGTCTTGCATATCCATCCATCTGATGTATTCAGCATGTGCCTTGTTGGTTTCTTCCCTGTCGATGTCAGTATTGTAATAGATCTTAATTTCCTCTAAGTCCTGGATCTTTTCTTCCCACTTAGCAACCTGCTCGTGAATGTCTCCAATTTCTTTTCTAGACCATTTACTAGGCCTTTTACTAAGAAGCTTTAATTTGGACTGAAGTCGCTACATGCTATTACCATTGATCTTAGTACTCCAAACTTCCTTAACTAGATTGTGAAAACCCTCATGTGAAGTCCAGAAGTTAAGGAATTTGAAGTACTTAAAGTGAGTGTTAGTAGAATTTGAAGATTTCATGAGTAAAGGCCTGTGATCAGAACCAACCAAATGTCTCACAATAGTGTTTTGGAATTTTTGAGCCCATTTATCATTAATAAAGACTCTATCAATCCTTTTCCAGATTCTTTTACTTGGGCCTCTGTTATTACACTAGATAAATTTGGGACCTATATAGCCAATATATGTAGTATCATAATTATCCATACAATTTTGAAATTCCAAGCTCATATGCATCCTATGAGGTTTACCACGTAACTTCTCTTCGGGGTCAAGAATAATATTGAAGTCACCTCCAATGCACCAAGGATCATTAATAGTTAGGTTGATTTTCTCCAGGCTGCATCACAAATCTCTTCTTTCCATCGCAGTACATTTAGAAGAGATAGCAGTGATAATGATGGGGTGGTTGTCTGAACCTTCTTCAACTTTAATAGAAATTTGTTGCTCATCATTTGCAATAATAGAGGTATTACTGATATTTTTTTAGAAGTACCAGATCTTCCCTTTATCATTGGAAATGCATTCTTGATAACCCAAGAATTTTCTGTACCCTTCTATTTTTTCTTTGCTAATCATGGGTTCCATGATTGAAGTATAAAGAATGTTGTTAATGTATTAGTTATTTTAGCCTATGAATGGCCTTTTTTGACCTCACCTCCCTAATATTCCAAAAAATTATATTGATCATGAAATACTTGGGGAGGGAGTATCTTTCTTTTGTTTCCTGTTCACAAAGGTTGCATATCTATTTTTGTTAGCCTTGCTTGAGTTTCTTGCTATACTTTTTCCCCTTCCTGCTAGTAGATATTCTTCTTCTTAATAATTGCCTTTGTCTTGGTTTCTCTCTTCACTTTGATCAAGTCTTTGTATACTTTGATGTAGTGAAGGGTCTTGCATAGGGTGATCAACTGTCTTGAATGTGTTGCTTTTGAGTGGTTGATCCTGATTTACATATAATTCTACTATTAACTCAATACCTGGGTGCTCAATTATGTTTGTTGGCAGACATGTTAAACATGAACTAGAGTCCATAGTCCTTTCATTCCCTATGTGTTCCTTCTCCAACTCAAGGTTTTTATCTCTGATTTCCTCCAAGTTATGTATTGTGACTATCCCCTGCTTCTTTGTACTCTTAGCGGAAGGGTCTTTATTGATAGTAGCATCCCCTCTTTCAGAGTTAGCTTTTTGTATTTGTTTTTCCTGTATAAGTTCATTTAATGAACTCTCTTTAACCATTGAATCAAATTGGTTGTTAGGATCCTGTTTCTTTTTCATCTTGTTGTTGTTTGTGTCCTACTTCTCCTCATCACTGTTATGCTTCACCTTCTTACTATTGTAATTCATGCTCATGCCTTCTGATATGTCAGCATGGTTCTAGGAGGTGGAAGTTCTGGTTGTAGTATTCTGCCTACTACTCCCTTGTATTAGAACGGGTTTGAATATCACCTTACTCTTCTTTTTTGGCATTCATTTTTTGCTGATGGTTTTTCTTCCTCTTCTTTCTAGTTCTCCATGCTATAGTAGCTTGATTATTCTTTATAGCCAAGGGAGTCTTGTTGTCTTGTTCAATCTCCAATCTATGTTGATTCTTGTTTGGAGTATTTTGGTATGTTCCTTCTTTAATCTCCTCGCAATTCAAACTCTTGTTCTTGTAACCGTTTTGTTGTCGTCCATCATTCTCATTACTGCTTTCATTTGCTGGTAACTCTATTTTTCTTTTCTTTTTCTCTTCTTCCTCCCCCTTCTTATCCTTTTGTGTTCCACTAGTTCCCTCTTCAAGATGTTTCAAGCTTTCTTCTTTATTATTTTTCTCCGCTTTCGCTGCCCTTTTTTTTTCAGAACTCTATAATTTATTAAGTTATGCCCAAGTTTTTTTCATTGTCTACAGTATTTAGGAATATTTTCATACTCAATTTTTTGGGTAAATCCTTTCAAAGGTGCATTTTTATCCTCCGATCCCACAAATACAATGTCTACTAGAGGTTTAAAAAGATTAATTTCTACCGTATTTTAGCTATACTCGGTCTGGTTTTACCAACTGTCGCAACATCTAGAGCTAGGGGGTTCCAATCTCGCTGCAAATTTATTTAGCATAGTGCCATGTGTGCATATTAAAAGGTAAAGTAGGAAGTAATACCCATACCAACACTCTTGGAATATCCTCGTCCGGTCTGAAATTCGGCGTCAACTTTTGCAGCCACATCTGAAGACCATCGATTTCTACCATTCTTTTATACCACACTAAGTTAAAGTCATCTTCATTTGTGAAGTCCAGGAAGACGTTATAGTTGTCAGATACTCCAATTTTGGCTCTGCATTTAACCGGAAAACGCTCTCTGAATGTAGATCTTATTTTTTCAATTTGGGGCTTAGGTTTCAGAATCATCCAACAATTGTGAGTACCTAAACTAAGGGTGTGTTTGGTAGGAAGGAAAATATTTTTCATTTCCTAGAAAAGTGGTTTTATCACTTATTTTTTCTTGTTTGATTGGTGAGTGAATAAACTTTTTTCGGAAAATATTTTTTTATGCTACTCCCGTCAACTCACCTTCCCCAAAATCCCCATATCTANTAGTTTGGGGTGAGGTGGGTGGTAGTTGGTGGGGATGTGGAATAGGGTGGAGAAGGTTAAAAAAGAGTTTTGAAAAATATTTTCCCTTATTTTATGAAAAAAATATTTTCCAAAACATTTAAGCCAATTAAACATGAAAATATTGAAAAACATTATCCGAAAAATATTTCTTTCATACCAAACGCACCCTAAGTCTTTATCAATCCAATGACAATTGGTAAAGACATGACCACTCAACTTGAAATTTCATGGATGGTACCTATAGTGTAATTGTGCGACTCTATTTGATTTAACAAATCTGGAGACAAATTCACAACTCTTTTTTAATTCGTCAATTTTATTTCATGCATTTCAATGAATGGTACCTAGAGTTAATTATTTTACACAACACTTGACCCATGATCCGGACTAGTGAGTCTAGTTTAAAAGGGCTTGCCAATAACCTTCTGGCGAAAACTTATAGCGATTCCCTTAGTTTCAAACCCCAAATTTTTGAAGAAAAAATTGAACCCTCTACTTCTTCGAATAATTTAGTAGAATCATGGGTTGGGGGTTGTGAAAAGAAATTATCTCTAGGTAGCATTCATTAAAATGCATGAAATGAAATTGACGAAGTTATCGCTGGATTTGATAAATCAAGTAGAGACTCACAATTAAATTGTAGGTACTATCTTCCATTAAAACTGATTTTATGTTGGAAAAACAAACCCAAAAAAATAAAAAAGCAAAGGCCAGAGATAGATGCAGAAGAAGGGGAAGTGGTCTAGGATTGCAGCGGATTGGGGTTTATGCGAGGATGAAGGGCAATATCTGATAAAGAAAATGCTATGTAATGGATTTGGGGATGAGATTCAGGTTCATGAATTAGAGGAGGAGCTGTTGAAGTTATTACAAGTGTTCTCTATGAGCATCGATGGAGTAACTGGTTGAAACTTTATTCATAAAAATGAAGAAGATGACTAAAAATGAAAAAGTGCAAAAAATTGAACATGTGGCGTCCGAATGAGGCTTCAGATACAAAAAAATTACAGTTCAGGTGCTTCATTCGTGCGTAAAATACACGCTTGCCACTTAGTTAAAATGGTGTGTCAAAAATATACTTTTGTGTAAAGTTATTCCTGACTACAGGTGTGTACCACGGATTTGGGAACAAGCTCGGCTGACATTCAATGTGCTGACATTCAATGTATTTTGCCATCTAGATAATACCTCCATATGATAAATACCTTTAAAAAAATACCTCCATATGATAAATACCTTTAAAAAAATACCTCCATATGATAAACAGGTAAGGCGAGGGAGGTTCACCTTGCCTGATTCCCCTAATGAGATAAAAGAAATCAATCTGTGAACCGTTTATTAGTATGGAAGTACTAATGGTAGTGACACATGACATAATTAACTTTGATTAATTCAGGGGGAAAGTTAAGATAACGAAGAGCAAATTTTACAAAGGACCACTCGAGCTTGTTAAAAGCCTTTTCTAAATAGATTTTTATCATCATCTTAGCCTTTCTTCCTTAAGTTCGTTTGAAATAGTTTAGGCAGTGTTGCACAAAAATAATTGGTCTATATTGTCTAATAGTTTTAGCATTTTGGCATTATGGAATTAAGCAAATGTACGTTTTATGCTTAAATTTCGGCAGTCTTGGTTTCAGAAGTTTCAAGATAGAAATTAGTAAGTTGGAAGCGTAGTTCATCCCAATATTTTTGAAAGAAAAAAAGGATAAAGGCCATTGGAACGATTTGAGAGCATTTTTAATTTTCAAAATAGTGACTGGATGAATTAGTTCAGAATTTTCAAAATCAAAATTGCTTCTCTATAGTTATTTACATTGTTGATATTACTAGAGCGAAAACTCCCCCGTAATATATACTGGGTATGCTGTTGTATTTTGGCAGTCCAAAAATTAAAGCAAATGAGATACCTCTATCAACAATATTACGGTCATTTAGCAGCTCCATCAAATTCAACAATGAATCCGCTCAATCTGACTATCCTCCTGATCCTATACCTAATAGGCCCTTAAGAAGTGATTCCAGAAGACCTTCATATCCATCCCAAAGCCAACAACACCAACTCTACAAATCCAATCCCACTTTATAGAAGGGCGAGGATTGGATTTGACCATAAAGAGGAAAATTTAAACCCAACTATTTCGCCGGAAAGATGAATGGAGGGATACGTCCGGCTTTACCTGAAGAAGCAGACGACGAAGTATTATTCCAAATGCTTCTAGTTATGGGTCTATGTCAAGGAAGAAGATTAGAGGATGCCATTGAATTTTGCATGGAAATGTTGGAAGCTGGACGTTCCTCCAACTTGAAAACATGATTAAAACAGTGAGGCAGATGGGACTTGTCCCTGACCAGAAAGCTGTTAGCCAATACTTGGACAAGAAAGGCCCATTCTTGCCACTGGTTTGGGAGGCAATCCTGGGAAAGAAAGCAATCCCTCTTCTAGTTTTTTTCCCTTCAATTTGTAGAGTTTAAGGAACATGGGGAGTATCTATTTTATTCTTCTGAGACAGACATCTAGATCAGTAGAGTTAGTAGAAAGCTAAACTCGACCTTGAAACACCTGAAAACATGAAAATAACTCTTCGGTAATCCAAATGGACTGAACCATCAGTACACGTTCAGTTCAAGTACAAATATGACAAATAAATACAATTGATCAGTCGCAAAATGAAATCATTAATGATAATATAGCAGTTTGCCACAAACACTAGTTTCCATGAAACATTTTCAGAGGTTGAGGTTTAATGTCAACCAAAAGTCTCCCACCAATTGCACAAAACAAAGCCCTATTTGCAATCTGATATTGTCAATATCACATCAGATACTGTGTAATTGATAAGCGGAAGCGGCCTACTTTTACTCCATGTATTAAGACAGCTGAAGACCTCCAAAACCAGTAGGGACTGTTTATTAAGCAGTAAAAATGATTTCATTCCCTGCAAAAATCTAAAGGCTAACTTATCGCACTCCAAATAACAGGAAAAATTGATCATCCAATTATAGCAATTAGATGCGACGCTTCTTTGGGAGGCGGCATCCATTATGAGGGCGTCGCGTTGTGTCCTCAATGAATACCACAGGATTCTTATCTCCACGAGAATGAGTATAGCCCTCTCTGAAGCTTAGAATTGCTTGCTTCTTTTTCTTAAAGAAAGTAAAGCCATTTACTTTCATGACCACTGACCTCAAGCCCCGGTCTCTGGCTTCACGCCCAACATGTTCAGCAGTTGATTCGGCAGCGTATCTTGCAATTTTCGTTCCTTTTCCTGTTATCTTACCTGCAGTAGACCCAAATTTTTTGTTCCCTTTTGAATCCGTCACAGTAACAAAGGCATTGTTGCGAAGAACTTTTATATGAACAATATCAGCATCCTGCTCAACGTGATACCTAGAAAGTGGAGCACCACCCAGAAAACCCCTCGTATTGTCCTCCGTAAGTCCTCTAACAAAGTCCATTGGTCGAGAATTGTTTCCCATCTCGGCTTCCTTTGGGCTTTCAGAATGTATGAAACACCTTCTACTACCAACATTATGTGGTGAATGAACATTCATTCCCAAGATTGAGTGCTGATTACTGCATATTTTGCTTTCAGTCTTCCCTTGAATACCTGCAGCAAAATGCTCTATTGAGCCAACAGTTCAAAAATTACTGCGTATCTCAAGCCCAGAATAAGAGGCAAGGGCATATGTATGCGAGCTACACAATATACTGTTCTGCAGATGCATATTAAAAAACTAGAAAAAACAAGTAAAAGAGATTCCTGGATCTACTAAATACAAGTGAGATAGACATTGTAATAGATTCAAACACATCCACATAATTACAAACCACAATGTTCTACCACCGCTGGAGACAATTCCCTTTCTATTACTCAAGATGTTAGTAATGGAGAGTCTAATTTTAAATCCAGAAGTTGTGCTCCATCTCCTTATGATAGCATCCTAACAACTAAAGAAAAATAAGAAAATCAAGAAACGTGCGGAAACTAAAAGAAAGTAGAGAAACAAAAAAGAAGGCAGAAATTAAAGATATTCAAGAAAGAGTTTCTTGAATTCAAGAAGTCTATCGTGAAGTTGAATCCTAACAACAACAATTAGCGAACGAAGAACTAATCGCCTTTGATAGATAATTAAAAACAAGAGATAGATTGTGAAACCCGGCCCTTTAGAATAACAAGAAACAACAATAAGCCTAAACTTATCACCTTTCTTGAATACCTAGAAGTGATCTAAGATTTCGAATAGGGTTTAATCTTACCACCTTAAGTTGAGTCTTGAAGGTTGAAGAATAAATCCAAGAGTAGCCACACACAAGAGTGCAAGAAAAATCTCACAATTTTTATTAATAATAGTCTGCAATAATCTAAGTCTAAAAACAAAGAAGACGCCCCTTTATATAGAGGTAAGGGGTCACGAAATTGAGCCTAAAAAAACAAGGAAATAAAGTGTTAAAACTACTTTGGACAACAAGTCCAACTACCTTAGGGGAAGGAAAAGTACTAGGAAGCAAAAACCAAGTCAATCTTGAAAAGTAACTCCAACAATCTTAGGAAAAAGAAAACATAACTTTAACTACCTAGGAAAGCAATAAATCTAGTACCAAAATATATAGAAATAAGTTAAAACCAATCTAGGATCTTGAAAGTTCCAACTAATCTTAGATAGGATCTTGACAATCTTGGAAATCTTAAAGGCAACTTGCAAGCAACTTGCACTCAACTTTTAGCACGCCTATGAACCCTTCTTGGGCAGCAAGTAAGTCCTTTTTATGTTATAAAAACGTGGCTTTATGTAGAACTTATTGGGCTGCAAGTTTGG